GTGCATGTCTCCTCTTACATTATGACTGTAACAGCCCCTAAAGTGTGATGGCTTTACTGCCTGGTCAGGTACTGCCTGGCCAGGCCACTTTGACATTCCCTTGTAACTGAGAAGATCTACTCCAGAGCCACCAAGGTGGGGAGTGGGGAAGCTTAGGTCTGTACATGAGCTGAAGGTCATTCGCCTCTTGGCAGGTGTTACATTAGGGAGATCAAGAACAAGTTCATCGCAAAAGAAATGCTGACAATGTGATTCACAGCTTTGCTTGCCTGACCCTGCAGGGTTTTCTGCTCCTAGAATAACAGCTCTTCTGTGGAGGGAACAGCACTTCTTCAGAGATGGTGCCAGGCTGCAGATTTTACTCCACCAGGGACCGGTCTTCTCCCTACCTTACTTTCTTTTGGCCAGGTGCCCTGCTCTGACCTGTCTTGATGGACAGAAACTCAAAAAAGGGTGGACATGGGTACAATACCCAACTAAAAAATGCCCCAGGCCTGGAAACACAGTATCCCATCCATGCCTCCATAAAGGATAAGAGGAAATGAAACACGTGACTGCATGGTATGGATGGTAGATACTTCTGGGAATGGGACCAAGCATAGAAGAAACTAGACCCAAGAGCCTCCTGCACTTGTGCTGTAGAGGAAATCCCAGCATGCTGCACCCTGCAGAGAGGCCCCCTCACCTTGCGCATGTCTGCAGCTAAGGCATCCAGGATGGACTGCTTCTTCTCATCCAAAAACCGGCTCAGCGCCTCCAGCTGGGAGACCCGATACTCCATGGGGCGTGTCTTCCCTGCGAGCCAGGAAGCACGTAGGCGGTTCACCAACCCTGCATAAGGGTTCGTGCTGAGGATTGAAAGAGCAGGTCAGCCTGTGTTGGCAGGTCCTACAGCCCTTGACACCCATCCCATCTCTACCTGCCCTGCTCAATGCCTCTCACACCCATCACAGCTTTGACCCCACAGTCCCTTCCGTGACCCTCATGTCCTATAGCTACCACCCCCAATCGCCACAGCCTCTTCTCCTCACTCCAAAGCAAACCTTCAGTGTTTCTCCAAGCAGCCTCATGTCCCAAGAATCTTCTGCCTGGTATGAGCCATGGTTTGGCGGGTAGGAAGCCTTGCCATAGGCTACTCTGCCTGACAAGTCCCTCTCATGGCTGGGGACTGGTGGGTCAATCCTGCCAACCAGTCCTTCTCTCTAGGTTTGCTGGGCCAGCTGAGCTACTGGCCCTCCTATTCATCCTTCAACACTAATCCTACAGGTTTTGACATAGGCTAGGGCTCTTGGCATATGCTCCCTGTATGGTTTGGGGTTTGACTGCCCCATGATTTGGCCCCATGACCTGAACCTGGCACCTGCCCTGGACCACACCTCCCTGGACTCAGAGTACCACCTCTTGGCATCTCTGGGCACTCTGCTACTTACCTCGTGACTTTGTCATCTGACTTGCCAGCCTTGCTGCTCACAAATGCCTCCTCTTGGCCCTCTTCATTCTTGCTCATCTTTTCTTGCTGGGAGGTATGGACAGCTTCTAACCAATGAGTCTTCTCTCTATAGAAATGGACAAGATTGAAGCCCCAGTGTAGTGCTCAGCCGGTCTGCCCCCACTATTGAGAGATGCAACCTCTCCACTATGACATGCTGCCCTTGGCACCAGACAGGACAGATTGTGACTGCAAGTCCCCATTTGGCACAGATCCTGTCATCTGCTTCCCTGGGAGTCTCTAGCTGCCATATTACAGCTCTCCAGGGGGTAGGCTCACCAGGGCCAGGCTCCCTGGGACCTGTGACCAGGTCCCCTGTGAATGCCCAGTCCTTCCTAGAACTGGCACCTTCCCCACCTTGCCTGTGAGGCTGGAACCACGTGGACAGGCTGCTGACCCCACAGCCATCATGAAGGAGTTAAACCCCTCGACTCCCCCCACCCCCCAAACCCCACCTTACCCTCCTGCAATAAGCCTTCTGGATAATTTGATTCTGTAGTGATTGAGTCAGTTGTTCCAGCACAGGTTCATATGCAGGTGCCAGTGGAATATGCTTGGACCCAGGAAAGCTGTGTATGGGATACTTTCCTCTCCTAAACCAGACCTGTTGGAGCAGGGAGAAATGTGCAGCCCTGACTCCATCCCCACCCATGGTGCTGGCTCTGGGAGGATGGCAAAAGGCCCTACAGGGTATGTGGGGGCAGGAATAAGGGACTCATGTGTGGGACTGTTGTGCGGCAGCAAATATGAGCAGGGGTTGACCCCACATCAATCCCTGGTCTGACAGCACCAAGGGCTTACATCCACAATAAGGGCCAACCTCCCATTCCCCTCCCTTGGTCAGAGGACCCAGGACTATGGTGCAACCCAGCAGGGTATAAGAAGTGGTGTAGAGACCTAAAGGAAGTCCCCCAGCCCTTCTCTGGGCAGGTGCATCAAGGGAGGTTGCTCTCTCTGCCTCTTCTTGCCACACTCACCCTTCCCACTCATAGTCCTCAGGGCCTAGAACTGGCCAAACCTGTCTGAGGCCATGAAAAATTGAGACACTGGTGCTGGCATAGGGATATCAGTGGGGAGGGTGAGGACATTCCTATGTCAGCTAAAGCCCTAGTGTAAACACACTTCTACCAACAGAAGCATCCCCTTGCCCCCCTCCCCCCCCCAAGCTACTTTCCCTCAAGGCACTGGTATAGGCCAGACCCAGCTGGGGCAAGAAGGTGGTTGCCTGCACACAGGGGAATGAACAGACCTAGACTCAGCCAGTGTCAGGAAAGCCTAGTGTGCCTTGTGGACTCCAAGCCAGAGTCTGCCAAAAAGGGGCCATGCTGTAGCCCTCCCCATGAGCAATGGTACAGCTCCTGAGTGCGGTACATGCCCAGAGGAGAGGGGAGTCCACTCCGCCTGAAAGCTTCTCTGAAGGGGAGAGACAACCTCGGCCTCTCCCACCCCCACCCCGCCCCAACAGGGTTCAGGAAGGGCCCAGATACTAGTGTTGGGAGCTGCTATGGGGAGGATCAGAGTCTGTAAATAGCCACGCTAGCCCCAGGCCATTCCTGACCTTGGTACTGTAATAGCAACAGCACCTCATTATCTTTAATGAGTTTCACCTCGGGTACCCTCAGGCAGCATAGGTGAGGCAAACAGAGAGGATCCTCATTGCCAGCAGATCCTTGCTCTGTCCACAGGTTGGGGGGAGCCAGAAAGGTGGCAGGGGAATGCCTCCCCCTCCTGTCTGCCCTACCCTCCTTCCACTCTGCACTTTCCATGCAGCAGCTCCAGCAGCCAGGTAGGGCCCCCGGTGTGAGACCCACAGGAAATGCCTTTCCATGAGGCAGCCACCATGGGGTTGGTACTGGCCAGAGGTTCAATGTCAGGGGAAGCCATTGCCATTGGGGGGTGGTGTTTGGTTAACCCTCGCACATCCTTATTTTGCCACAGATCATTGGCTTTTAAATCAAGGCTTGAACCACATTTCAGCTGCAGCTTCCACATAAACTACTGAAGCAGCAACTCGCTCTGTTACAACCCTGCAGGCCACTGCCCCTGCCCTGTGTGCCACCACCCTCCAGGGTACAAAAGTGCCACCTCTGCACCTCCCCCCCCAAGCTGTCTGAGCTGCACTGCTCTTCTTCTCCCTCTGCTGCTGGATACTGAGCTAAACTCCCAAGGGGGCAGAATGGAGAGAGGCTGACTCCACTGAGCAAACTGAAGCCAGCAGATGCTGGTAGTGCCCTTGAGCCCAGGGACTGCTCCCAGCTGTTGCTGGCTGCTCCTGCTGCCTAGGCCTTTCTCCCTACAGTCCTACCTGCCTCCATGGCCCCTACATTTCCTCCCACCCCCACCACTAACCTCTTGTGTAAGAAACTTCTGTCTCAAGTCAGAGTCTCCGCTTCACAGTGAGCCCCCATACATGTGCATCAAGGTTGCTCCGATGTGCTGTAATTACAGCATGTCAGAGCAGACTCAATTAATTGAGTCTGCTGGAGCATGGTAATTACTGCACTCCAGCAGATGCCAGCGTCACATGTATCAGTGTCCCCGCACTGAAAAATGGTGGTGGGGTGTAGCTTGTTCAACAAGCTTTAGTTAAAGCACCCCCACCACCACCGTTTTTCAGTGCAGGGACACTGATTCACGCGATGCTCCAGATGCTTTAATTAGAGTAGCTCTCAGAGCCTCTTTAATTAAAGCACCCCTCCCCCCAGATAAATGCCATATGTCCTCAGCTATGTCCTGAGGGCTAGGGCTAGGGCAGGGCCTCCCAGAATTAAGGACACCCTCAGCTTCCATGAGTCCCACAGACGCCGTGTCCCTGATAGACATGTTTATAAACGGAAAATCCAGTCCTTGGTTTTGAGTGGCCTTTGTTGGAAGTGTAGTTAGTGCAACCCAACAAGGTCTGCATACATCCTGATTCTCTCATGTGGGCCAAAGGGGAGCACAGTATCCCTGCACTGGTCTTTGGCCCTTTCTCTTCTGAATGAAATTCCCTCTGCAGGTCCTTTGAGGGATGAGAAGCAGCAAGGCTAAAACCAGTGCCTTTCACAGGGGGAAACAGGCACAGAGTGGAGAAAGCTGGCCAGACAATTCAGGCTCAGTGCGGAGGCCCAAGAAGCCTGACTTATCTGTCGTGCCCTTGCCTGCCTCTGGGCTTCACATCCTGGTCATGGTCTATGGACACTCATGAGAAGGGCAGGGCTGTAACCAGGGTCTAAGGCCAATCCAGCACAGAGTACCCACAGCCTTCTAGTTCCGCCTGGCCTCTCACCAGCCTGCCAACAGTCTTAGGAGCAGGGTGCAGCTCAAGGCAACCAGATCACAGCCTAGGGTTGGCTGGGCAATGGGGAGGGCACTTACACTTCACTGGGGCCAATCCCAAATTCTGATTTTGTGCCTGGGCTGGATGAGGGTCACAAAGAGATAAGGGACAGGGCCCAGCTACATTGGCCTCTTCTGATGAGACATCCGTTTAAGGGATTAATTATTGCAACAGCTGCCTGTGTAAACCAGGACCAAATTATAAACCCTGACATGTTCCCAGTGGGGATACCAGTAGACTCCAGAGGGGCTCTGTGCTGGCTCACTTAAGCTAGAGGCCTGGATTGGAACTGGCCTCCCCCAAAGAAGAAAGGCCCTGTGTTCCATTCCCCATGCCCCAGAGCCACTGGGTCCCCCACTGCTCTGTGGCTAGATGAGAGTCATCCCCCCATCTATCCCTCAGAGGCCAAGGTCCCCAGGTTCAGCCCTGGGTCCTGATGAAGGGTCAGCAAAAAGCCTTTACCTGCAGAGGACAGGATGTGCAGGGCTGCCGGTGCGTCTGCAGGGCTGGGAGTCACTGGGAGAGCAGCTCACCACCTCGCAGGGTGCCTTAGCAGACTGACTCCGACTCAGCAGTTTGGGCAGTGTTGTTTATTCAGTGCTTCACCCTAGATAATCCTGCTGGGGTGGCTGCCAGAGCTCCATCAGCCAATTGGGGAGCAGCAGACAGAGCAGAACCACGCCCCGCCTGCATGGAAGACATAGATGGGGTGCAAAACAGGCAGAAGAACCAGCCTCTTCACTTACTGGGAGTCCTCAAGCATCCCAGAGCCATGGTCCCAGAGGCACTGCACCAAGCCCTGGAACTTACCACAGCCATGAAGGGGGCTAGGGAATAGTGCATCCTGTGGGACACCAGCCTGGAGAGATCTCCCGACATTGCTCCTCCATGGGGCACTAGCCTGGGGCCATCATAGAGGACATTCTGGTTTTCTGCTACTCTGTCCTTTGTCCTCTATTGATATGAAACCCAATGCCTTTTTCTCTTCAAGAGAAAAATAGAGGACGTAAAGGCATCCGGTTTCATATCAATAGAGGACAGAAGACAACCAGACTGTCCTCTATGATGGCCACCCTAGCCCTCTCCCTTCACACTGCCTTCTTTACTGCCCACAGTCTCTTGCTGTGGAGGTGGGGGGGCATGATGTGCCTCCTTGGCTCATGTATGTTCCCAGCACATAAGTTTTGCTGCAAGCTTGAGTTTTGCTGTGAGCTTGAGCCTCCATGCCCTATTTGTGTGGTGACTTGGCTAGGTCTCCATGTTGAAAAATCTGGCACCAGTAGTGGCACACCCAGGGAACTTTCCAGTTTCACACCTGAAGTCAAGACACCATGGCTGGGGCAATGCCATGTTGCTCTAATGACTACTACTCTAAACAGGAGGATTTGTAGCAAAGGCCAACTTACAGCAAGAGAAACCGAGGTACTAGGATAGGCAGCAACTGGTCCAAAGCTGCCAGTTTAGACTCCCAAATTGGCTCCCTGCAGGGGGCATGTCTTGCCTGGGCAGTTGGCACTAGCCTTGAGTGCTGGATGAATCCTGACCACACTAGCCTGCAAGTCTAGGTAGCTCTGTCCTGAGGAGAGCATGGTCTGACACTCCCCAAGCATGACCTACTTTGAACATGCCATGGGGAGCCCTAGCTCAGCTTCCTGCATGTCCTTATATTAGCAGCATATGTACCCTCACCTGCCATCACTGCTGTGGTTGCCAAGGAGCTAACAGGGTCGCAGGCTAGGCCTGGAGGTAGGGACAGATGGACTGCAAGAGCCTCAGCCCATCTCTCCTGCCTGGCAGCATCCAGGGTTGAGTGAGTTGCCATCAGTGTCTCCATCCAGACACAGCACTGGGAAGTTTGGTACCACCCTCTGTGCCTTGCCCCAGAGGCTCAGGAGTGAAGTGCAGCTGGGCTGGCTAGGACAAGAAAGACAGGTCTCTGCACAATGGCAAAAGGCAGCCACATAAACATGCTCTAGATGACAGTACTATCCCACACCTAACTGTCAGGACTAAGGCTTGAACTGAAGGGCTCCACAACTGTACACAGGAGCCAGGAAAGGCCCTACTCCCACAGCCACCCTGGGGTATCCAGCATGTGAAAATACACACTTGTTGTACAGCGTATGTTGCTGGCTGGTGCCCAGGCAGGTACTACTCTGGGATGGAAAGGCTCTGTACTAAGGGCTTTCCCAGGATAAACCACTAGCAATCAATTCCTCTACAGCTTGATCTGGAGCTGCCTAGGACTAAAACTCCCTCCCTTCCCAGCTGTATCTGCATACACACACATGAAGACAAACACATACAAGAAGGTATAAAACACACTCAGGCATAAAAGTGCACACACAAAGCTGTTTGTATTTGTGGGGTGTACACATGCACACAGATGTGTGTACACATGCACACAGCTGTGTGCACTCATGCACAGATGCAGATATGTATACACACTCAAAAGCATGCACATAGTAGCATAACTAAGGTGGGCAAGTGAGGCACCAGCTCCAGGTGCTGATTTACAGGGGACAGCAGAATACTGGCTCCAGGGGGTCTGAACCACAGTGGCAGTGGCCTTTGTACCCACACAGCAGCAGCCTGCATCATGGTGGTAGTGCCAGCAGCAGTAGTCCATGTGTGGAGAGGCAAGACTCCATAACTTGGCAGCACCCCCAACCTTCCCCAACCACATCCACAGTAAGGGCCAGCCTCCCAGTGGTGCTCAGTACCCTCTTCCCAGGGCACCAAAATTCCTAGACATGCCTCTAGCGCAAGGGCGGGCAATTATTTTGGGCAGAGGGCCGCTTACTGAGTTTTGGCAAGCCATCAAGGGCCGCATGACAGGCAGCCCAACGCAGATAAATATTAATTTTCTAAATTTTTTAGGGGCCCTGCAGGCCGGATAGAATGGCCTGGTGGGCCACATCTGGCTCCCGGGCCGCATTTTGCCCACCCCTGCTCTAGCAGCAGCCATGGTCTTTGAGCCCTAGGACAGGTATGACTGACCACTTTCCCCATGTGCACTCTGCTCTCTGCTGTTTGGCACTCTCCTCTTCACCTCTACACACACACACACACACACATAAATGAAGATACACACCTACACAGGTACATGCACAAATCCATGGCAAAAGACTTAAAGGGACAGAGCCCTTTGCTCCCCGCTCTAGGAGGAAACAGGGAAGCTGCCTTCCCTTAGCTGCCTTTATTTGTATGTATTCCAATCATGCTTATTCATGATCCCATGCACCTCACATGGCTGCCACAGGGGGAATGCATTTACTGCAGGGGTGTCAAAGATAACAGACTGCAAGCCCACAGAACACTATCATCCAGCTCGAGGTGCTGCCTTTGTGTCTCAGACCAGTTCCATGTGTCACATGCGCTGGCTCTGGCTCCACGTGCTGCATGTGGCACATGGAGTTGATCTGGTGTGTGCCATATGCCGTGTGTAAGGCTGGAGCTGGTGCATCCTTCACACAGCATGTGGAGCTGGTCTGGGGTGTGTGCCGCACATGACATGCAGAGCCAATCTAGGGTGTATGCTGCATATGGCACCTGTGCCAGGCCAGCCCTGCATGCTGGATGCAGGGCCAGTCTGGATCAGGCCCGTTATAAACTGGCCCTGCATGCTGTATCCGATGCACAGAGCCAGTCTGGGACACATGCTGCATAGTACCCACACCAGACCAGCTCTGCACGCTGGATCTGGTGCTCAGGACCAGACTGTAGGCCTGATCTGGCCTGCAGACAGTCCTCACACCTGTGGGTAAGATGAGTGTTACGCCCTTGATTTACTAAATATCATCAGCAGTGCCTACAATCTTTGGTTAAATGATAAAACCCAAACCTCCTCCCTGAAGAGGCTCAGGGCTCTTCAGGGCTCTGTGGGTTGAAGTGTGGCCAGAGGCTAACAGTTATTCCCAGGAACGGCTTAAAATGCAGCAGGACTAAAAGTACAGAGGCAGCTGCAATGTGCTTAGGCAAGTTCCTGGCTGGCAGCTCATTTGTAGAACTGGTGCAATCATCATTACACAGGTGTAAAAGCAGTAGCAGACAGATGATGCAAATCCCTACACCAGGGTACCTTTGCTCAATCTGGGGACTTTTCCCAGAAAGTACCAAGATAAAACTCCAGGAGTGTAAAGTTACCTGTTCCTTCCCACGCAGCGGTGAGGCAGTACAATGGCTACCTACTGCATGCTGTTATGCTGGTCTAGCTTTTCATCTGTCCATTCCACATCCAGGTATAATTTACATTACCAGTGTAATTTACTCAAAGGTATCTGTCCTTCTCTCCAAGACCACAGATCATGAGTTCTTTGGGGCAGAGGCTATCTCTTTGTCCCCTGCTTGCTCAATACGTAGTATGAGACAGGTCCTGCCTGATCTATGACTTGGGCTCCCAAGGTGCTACAGTTATACCAGCGGGTACCTCCATTACCAGTGACTCCCTGACAGGATACAGAAGAGAAAACTTGCGGAACCAGGGCACCAGAGACAAATCCAGGGTAGGGATGGATGGGACATTTCACCCCTCTTTGATTTTTGCTCCACTCAAAGTTCAAAACAACCTGCTCAGCAGGGACAACTATGCATTTCTATTCAGGAGGAGCTGAGGGAGCCAACTGGCTCCTGTCAAATGGCAGCAGGAAGTTGTAAAGATGAGATGAAAAGGAAAGTCACTGCAGTGACCTTTTCCTAGATTATTAATTGCAGCAGATGGTAGAGGCTCTAGGAGGCTGAACCAGGGGTACTACCAGGGTGGCATAAATCCAGACATGGATGGACCCAGAGAGTTTGGTCTCCTTGAACAGGGGTACCCCCTGCAGTAAGGTATGGGGACTCAGAGAGACAGGGAAGGGTTCAGTGTGTTGTGAGGGGTATGGTGAAATGTCAGGGGGGCTGGGGCACGATGGGGACAAGGCTGTACAGTGTGCAGTGGGTTCATGGGAACAGTGAGGGGGTAGGGTAGGACTCAGTGGGGCATGAAGGGGATTGTGAGGTCCAATGGGGCTTGGGGCACAAAGGGGTGGGGCTGAACATAGGGGACATACGGGGGACAGAGTGGAGCCAGGGAAGATGAGGGAGCAGGGACAATGCATAAAGGGCAGTGAAGGGAACTTTGGGGCCATGGTGGAGTGTCTGGAGGACACAAGTGTTGGGGTGCAGGGAGCAGTTCTGTCTGTGGCCTGGCTGGGGTGTAATGACTATACCCCACATCACCACGTGCCTGCTCCACCCTGGAGCTGGCAGTCAGGCCCCCAACCCTCCAAATATTTGTCTTTGTTTTTGCTTGGATCCAAAACTAAATAATATAGCTGTATACCCGTAGCATATTAGTAAAGTTTCTAGTTTCCTGCTAACTGGAGAAAAATATGCACTGCATTATGTGAGGGTGCACTGGAGCAGCTGCACTAGAAGCATTAGGTACAAGACATGGGAGGTGATACTGCCTCTCTGCTCAGCACTGGTGAGGCCTCATTGGGAGTACTGTGGGCAGTTCTGGGCTCTACATTTTAAAAAGGATGTAGAGAAGTTAGAGAGGGTAGAGAAACAAGCAACAAGGATCAGGGGCTTGGGAGGCAAGTCATACGAGGAGAGGCTGAAGAAGCAAGGCATGTTCAGCTTGCAGAAAAAGTGCTTAGGAGGCGACAAGATATCAGTCTTCAAATATTTAAAGGGCTGCCATAAAGAAGGAAAGCACCTTCCCTCTCTTGCTGCCAAGAGGAGGATGTGGACCAATGGCTTGAGGTTGCAGCAAAGTAAATTTAGATTGAATAACTGGAAACTCTTCTTCCCTGTTAGACTAGTGAGGCAGTGGAATCGACTGCCTAGGGAAGTTGTGAACTCTCCATCACTAGAGGTGTTCAAGAAGAGGTTTGACAGCTACTGGTCAGAGATGACCTAGGTGTAGCTATGCATATGTTCTACCATGGATATTTCCCATGCTTCTGGGCTTTGCTGGTTGCTCCCCCCACCCCTTTTTTTAATCCTATATGTGTTAGGGTGTTTTTATGCTTTTCCAGAGGCATTGGGTATTGGCTTCAGCTAAGGCTGGGGACTTCAACTGGGATGTGCCGATTCTCCTGTTAGGAACAAAGCCAGAGGTTCCTGGCTAGTGGGTCTTGCCCCTCTGCTCAGGGTCAGACTGCTCGCCATATTTGGTGTCAAGAAGGACTTTTACCCCAATGTCAAACTGGTATGGACTATGGGGGGTTTGCCTTTCTCCATAGTGGGAGGCATGGCCCTCTACCCAGGACTTTTTGAGTGTATACTGACAACATTTTATAGGAGCAGGACATCGGCTGCTGTGGTTCCCCTACTTTACCTGTGGCAGGTTAGGGTGTTAGGTCTATGTTGTGTCAGGGTTGAGAGTAGTCTTATGTAGAGTTTAGATTATGGTTGTATGGAAGGGTTTGGATAGAGATAATCCTGCCTCAGGCAGAGGGTTAGACTAAATGACCTCTGGAAGGCCCTTCCAGCCCTACGTCTCTATGACTATGACACTATGACACTTGCCTTCCTCAGAATCCTGGATCTGCCCATGAAGAGCACCTCCCATGTATTCAGAGGGGATGTTTACAAAGGAAGCCTCAGCTTCCCTCAAAAAGGAGGGACCAGGCTCTGAGTGATGTAAATAAAGGGCTTGTTGATCTCTAATCTTTCAACCCCACCCTTGGGTACTGGTGTGTCACTGAATGTGTGGGCGATGGCCCCATGGCCCCAGGACAAGCAGCAAAGACTGTGATACAGCACATGCACAGATCACACATCAGGGCATACAACCTGGGGTCCCACTACCTGGCCCAGAAGATGTGGTCACACAGCCAGTGCACTCCTCTAAAATGATGCAAGCATGGCAGGTGACAAATGCAGACAACCAGGAGCAGCTCATGGAGAGTCTTCAAGGGTCCAGCTTCAGGTGGTCACTATGGACTGTGTGCACAATAGCTCAGAGGCACAAATAGATGCAGAAGACTTTGTAGTGCCCTGACACTGGCAATCCCCCAACTCAAGCCAATGGGCAAGTTAAAAGCTTCCTGCATGTGTATAAAGGTTGAGAGAACAGTTACAAATCCCCCAGGCCAACCAGCAGGGCAGGCTTCGGATTGGTGGTGAATACAGAAATGCAACTGGCTCAACGGGTCCAGACCTGGGGACAGGGGAGGGTGAGCTTCAAGGCACTCTCACCTCCTCTGCACCTCCAACATATAGGGAGGTGCAGGCAGTGGCCACCTGCTGCAAAGATGCCCTACATTGGGTAACAGAGGCTAAGAACCTGGTAGAAGGAGTCATCTGACTCTTCAGGACTTCTATAGAAAGGACACTGGTGCTGGTATTTCTGATAGAGCACAAGCACAGCTTGTTTGAGGGACAGACATGGGATCACTTGGCATCAGATCTTCATCATCAGCCATATCATAGTAGCTAGGGTCAGGAGGGACCTGAACAGAACATCTAGCCTGACCCCCTGCTACAGGCAGGAATGAATGCTGGGTTCACAAGACTCCAGACAGGTGATCATCCAACCTCCTCTTGAATATGCCCAAGGTAGGGGCGAGGACCACCTCCCTGGGAAGTTGGTTCCAGATTTTGGCCACTCTAACTGTAAAATATTGCCTTCTGATCTCCAACCTAAACCTATTCTCCATCAGCTTATGACCATTGCTCCTCGTCACCCCAGGTGGTGCTGGGGAGAAAAGAGCTCTGCCTATTTGCTGTTGATCTCCCCTGATGAGCTTGTAGGCAGCCACCGGGTCCCCCCTCAGCCTCCTCTTGCTGAGGCTGAACAGGTTCAGGTCCTTCAGTCTCTCCTTGTAGGGCCTGTCCTACTGCCCTCTCACCAAGCAGGTG